TCGGCGGCGTTAAATTTATTCCGCGGTCCCGCGCATTCCCGCAAATACCAGGGATATGGCGTAAATTATCCCTCCTATTTAGTGCTACACTGATGCGATTTCGGGTTTCCGCGAAATCCGCGGCCGGTTTCGCGTACTTGCATTTTCGATCGCCCGGTGATCTTACGGAGAGCACCTCGCATTCATCACGACCGATTGATTACGAGCGGCAGCTACTGAATCGGAACGCGATTTACGCAACTGTAAGTAACAAGATCTGGCATGAAGGATGATTTTTTCTTTCAAGCGCGAATAACATTGCATCTAATGAACGATATGCACAGTCGATGTCACTCGACGATATTCTTTATACCCATTTTCTGGAGAGCCGTTTGTACATTTGGAGTAGAAAATGCACTGAAAATCCACCTAATCTGGTTGTGACAATTAATTTTTCAGTGCACTTTCTACTCCAAATGCATATGCTCAACGAACTGTTTGATTACAATAACCAAAAAATTCCACAATTTTTCCATTCCAAAAAATTTAGTTTCTTAATCAAATTGTGAGAAAAAAACTATTCCTACTAGAGATACCGAGGTAGGAATGCTGTTTCACACAGACTTCTTTAAAGGTATAGAAATGTTTCTATACACGGATCGTTTAAAACTAAATATGAATCATTAAAACTAAATATATTCTATTATCTTCTCATAATTATAAAATTATTTTCCATTAAAAACGAATAACGAATGTTTAGCTTTTTAAGAAGTCAGAAAGATTTAATCAAATAATTTGGTTACGCTAATTTAAATTTATGAAGTTTATTCTCTCCTTATACATTTGGTTGACGCAAGTAAGAAAAGTTATATCGTCAACCATAATGTATTAAATATTTTGTGGTGGCAATTACAAAAATAAATTTCCTAACGTGGTTCGTGGTTTTCACACACACACACACGCACGTACGCACACACGGCTGCAATTCTAAAACCAAACTAACCACTATAAAGTTATGGAAATGCATCCAATTTGTTTCTGAAATGAATTTTTAATCGGGGTTTCGATCGCCGATATAATCCGTCCGACGCCCTAAGAGTTCAACGGCCTTCTTCTTAATAGCCTCCAAAAAAAGAAGGATACTCGATAGGTCCGACGATCAAAAGCGTATCGAATCGCGAGATAGACTCGCCGTAGACGGTGACGTGAATGAATTTTGCGAGTTAATTGCGACGCCGATAAGCCGGAACGTCGAGAGCGCACCACGACGGCGCCCTAAAAAACCGGCACGTCGGTTACGTCGCGTAGTCGGGACATTCTGTATAAATTTTCCTCGCGGTGGCGCCGTTTATCGCTAGCATTTAATAACTCCTGTGACTCTTTACGGAGTCGTAGCGAGTAATTGCCCTTAAAAATGTTTAAGCAACCCCCGCTCGATAATTACCACGACAAGACGACGAATAAATCAGTGAACGCCAATTAAATTCGCGGGGAATATCCTTTCCAGTTCTCTCTCTTTCTCTCTCTCCCTCCCCTCTCTCTGTTTCTCCCTCTATCACTCATTCTGCACGAACGCGGATTTGCATTCTTCCGTAATCGCGATTCAATCCGGCGACATCGGTGCTTCCGCTGTAATGGCTTCGCAAATTCTCGCGCGGCTCGCGACGACCGTGAATTTTTACGTCTCGTCTTTTTGTCGTAGCTACCTCGTCTGATTATTAAACCCGCTAATCAATAACTCGCTGAAAACTACACGCGTTCTCTCTTTAATTAAATTTTGCTGCGTCAGCCAATTTTATAACCCAATCGTAAGAGAAAAAAAAGAGAAAGACTAACAAATTTATCAAAACGTATGCAGAGATGCGTATTTTCTGTGTTACTTTGTGTATCGCTCTTATGTAGAAACACGAGACAGGGGGAGAATTAAGATTGATTTCATAAAATGCGTATAAATGCGAATGACTTGAAAAAGCAAAAATAGTTTTAAAAGGGTCGTCGAGAGTTGAATTTCCAGAATTATCTGTAATTTTCGTGTCGTTATCGCGTAGACAGCGATGACGCTACAATTCTTTCATCATACAAGTTGTTGTGTTCGTCACTCATCATCGGAACTGTGTGACTTGATAAAGACCGTTATCTCACCGACACTGTCGTGTGTCTATCTTTGTGGAAGAAAGATAGAAATATTTTTCGTTTTTTTCTTGACGACGTATAAACGAAAACGTATACAATGCAATGGACTTCTTAACAGATAACAAGCGCGATCAATTGTTAAATTACTCGAAAAAGACAAAAGCAGTTTTGTTCTTCTTTATCTCGAATCCTTGTGTCTTTCTCGGGATTTCCTTTGTTGACGGTTTCGAGGGACGAAGACGACATAAATATGTGTCATAGGTTGTACAGATAAACACCGGAATAACTATAAATCAGTAACAAAGTATCAGTCGTGAAAGTTATTTTAAATTAATTAATGGCTTAAAGTATATTTTATATTAGACGTTCTTGGGAAAGAGGAAGCTAAGTATTACGTTATTGCGTAAAAAAAGGAAAACTTACAAAATTTAACATATAATCCAGTTATTCAATAATTACTTTGATTTAATACAATTTTAATCTCAATTTTTAATGCGCTTTCGTGTTTTTTTTTTTTTACAATGGATTTCTTTCTCTTGCAAAGCACACAGCATGAGATAAATACAACGTCCGCATTAATTAATTAATTTGTAATGATTAGACTCGATTTTTTTCCTTTGACGGTAATTCTTCGCGACGAAAAAAATCACCGAGTCGCACAGTGAATCATGTACGAAGATTTATTGAAAGCATTAACACTGTAATTTATAACATATTTATTATTCATGAACACGCAGCGACTTCTAATTTGATACGGTATAATGGAACTAGCATATGTTTTGTAACGATTACTCTCGATCGCAAAGTGCCGGCCCATACTTAAAGATAGAGCTCCGAAGGTTAAAACGACATGCGGCGACGGTCCAGCGGCATAATCGATTATTCGAGATAATAACGGAGTGGATGGCGGTCAAGGAAAAGTAAACGGAAGCCGCTGAGAGGAAAGACAAACAGATCCGGATCCTTCTTTCACGCCTTTCGTTCTGGTTTTCGCTTTTTTAAGGTCGAAAGAAAAGCCGCGCCCTACTTTAACATCGAAAGAAGAACCGTTTTTAGGTTGGGAGTCTTTCGTCACTACTGATAGGTCGACCAAAAAAGTGGATTAATTATATCGTGAAGAAATTTCTCTAATGTTATTTTCACATATAAATAATTCATACTTATTAAATACCACCGCATTGTCGTTATCATTGACCGACGTTAGACGTTCTAATTTGGCCATAATTATGCAAGAAGGATACAACCCACAAAATTATGATTTTTGAGATTTTGCTACCGGAGAGGGGGGGGATAGTCTATACGTCTTTCTAAAAAAACAAAAAAAATCCAAGCCTTTTTGGCATCGAAAATTCCTCCTAGTTATGCCATTTTTTATTAGTCGCGTTTCTTATTAATTTTTTTTAGAGTTAACCCACTAATGATAAGGTGTGTTTTCAATGTATCCAAGAAAGTGAGGTTAGATGCGACTCTGTACTCTGTTTCATTCATTTTTCATGTAATCAATATACAAAAGTGGGCAAAAGAAGTAAATAATAACATAAAATATTCCTTAAAAAGAGAAAATGGACGCTATGAAATAAACCAAGCCATTGGGTCAACTGACCCCACCTTACACACAATGGAGATGCCTTTAAAAATAAAATGTACCATGCTTGATTTCTTGAACGACTGTGAAGTACCTGAGTGCTATTTATCTATTTTTTAAAACATATATCAAATTTTCATCGCCATTTTTCTCGAATTGTCCGCTCCGTGTGAGTATTGGATCTTTCTTGCATAACTGCGGCCATTTCGCTCGTCGGGCTTTCGGAAGTCGTAAAAATCGTAACACCGATAACAACGAGTGATAAACGCGCCGGACGAAGACATGTACATTCGGTAGAGTCCTTTCTCTCCTTCGAATCGCCTCTCCTTCCACTTTCGTCCCTTCGACGGACAACGCAACGGCGAGAACCGTGGCGTAGGTCACGGCACAAGTCAGTCACCGGTCTCGGGCGCGATTGTCAGCGCGAGATCGGGCCGAATGGCGGAACCACGGTCGGGATTTCCCCGGCACGCCAATTTAGCAAAGTGATTGACAGACGGCGACGGCGACTTGATGGCGTTTGGCTTCGCATGCACCGGCGACGAGTTACTCCGACCGAGCGATTTTCACCGGTCGGCTTCACCCGTGAACCGTTCCGTGAACCATCGGGGCGCTGGTGGTGCTCCTTTGTGATGATTGCGTCGCGCGATAAAGTGTCCGCCGGACGATTGAAGACTTGACGTCACAGGAACGGCGAGAGAGAGAGGGGGGGGGG